GAAAAGAAAGCATCCCCACAATTGAAGAATATATAGAATTCAAAACAACTGACAACCAATATCAAAGTCACAATCTTCAATACGAACATTAAAACAGTTATGTTGTATGGAGCTGAAACGTGGAGAACTACTATAACTATCATCGAAAATGTACAAGTATTTATAACCGATTGTCTACACAAGATACTCCGAATCCATTGACTGGATACCATGAGCACCAACCTGTAATTGGAGAGAACAAACTAACTTGCAACTGAAGAGGGCATTCGAAAAACACACTGTAGGTGGGTGAGGCATACATTATGGACGTCATCAAACTACATCACGAAACAAGCTCTAACTTGCCAACCTGAAGGTAGAAGAAAGGGAAGCTCAAAGGACACATTTTATTGGAGACAGATAACAGAAGAATAAATATCATTTAAAACAAACTGGAAATTAAAGACGAGGAGAGAGATGAATGGAGAATTCTCGTGAGTGATTTGTGCTCCTCCACTAGTGAGGAGTAACAGGCATAAGTGAATGCGTAAGTTGCATTATGATAATTAGTTACGAGAATATTTTGGTCAATGATTTTGATATGACAAGAATATATACGTAATAGTTATGTTAAATTAGAAATAACCTATACATCAATTTTTTTTAAATTGTTTTCAATAAATATTAATTGACAAAAAGACATTATTTCCCAACTAATTGATACTTGCCAAATTATCGAAGTTGAATAATTATTGAACTATTAAATAATTAAGTGGCCCTATTCTTTGATAAGTTTTTGTGCTATTACATTTAAGTCACTGTTGTGTATCTTTAATCTTGTGAGAGCTAATATTTTCTCTTCGTTTCAAATATATATATATATATATATATATCAATGTTAGGGTCAATTTAGTTATTACTGAATTATTCAAAACTCGGACGTTTATTATTAATATAAACTAACTCTAAATATTTCTCCTAACTGCTTCTAACAATCATTTAATATCCACACTTAGACAATTCCAATCAATTGAATTCAATCAACCAAGGAAATATAAAAACACCATTATCTTACTCAATGATTGATTATTGTAAATATCAAGTTAATTTGTCATAGTTAAAATAATAATATTCTCTCAGGGGGCGAGATCGTGGATGCGCACTGCTGAGGAGTCCCGAAATGGGACGAAACAACCGTCCAGTGCCTCCAAGTTTTCCATGGTGGTCTAGTTTCAACTGACTCATGGCCTTAGCCATTGAAATGATAATAATGTGTTTTATGATAATATTACTAACAATAATTGCAGTTTAAATCTTAGATGAATCAATTAAGTATGTAACGAGCACTGGTGAGACATTATTGTTATCTTCAGTATATGGTGTTTGTTGAAGTTTACTAACAGGACATTATCGAAACGATGATGAGATATGTATCTTCTCTTGTATCTCATCTAAATTATTTATCATCAAACAGTAAATCTGGAGATCAATATACAGAGAACAATCATTATTCTAGCTTATATAACATGTTAAAATATTACGATTAGTAGATGCATACTGTGTTGAATTCAGACTGTTTCTTACCTATCATCAACCTTGTATAATGGAATAAAGTCAAATTATCCAGTAAGAAATCTCATGATATTTAAACGTTCTAGAACTAGTTATTGATTTTGTTTGAGGGATTCATTGTTTAAGTGTTAAATTTCAATTTGAAATTCAATTTCAAATATTTTGGTTTAAGTAATCTGGTAATTCCATTAGCCATTACACAAGAAACTTTAAGTGTAAATCGAGTCACTCAGTTTAACATGTCATTACAGAATGCTATGAATTTACTTATCAGATAGTAGATTAAGAAAAATTATAAATTATTTGAACAAACCGTTTTGCTAACTCTATGCCTTCTTTAACCTCCCAGCCAAAAAAGGACAACTAGTATTATTTTGTTAGGTTAAAGACAATCCTGTTCATACAAGAACTATGATTATTACAATGTTAATTCCGAAAATAGTATTGTACTCGAAAAATGATGTTATCTTTCGTCCTACAATGTGCTCCTATTTTATGTTTGACTTTACTACGACTCAGTGATGAATATCCGATCAGAATAAATCGTAAAATCGCATTTCTTCGAATAATATACCCTTATTTTATGATGAACCCGCCTCCTTCGGTATCAATCTATGAATTGACGTACATTCTCTAATCATTTTCTGAATATTTGTTATCATTAGATGGATAATAACTGTGTTAGCTTATAGCTATATCACTTGTGACACCAAATTATGTAGCACGATGGCTGTGACACTACAAAATGGATGACTCTCCAAGCCTTTCAGGTTTTATTTTTCTTATTGCTTACTTCAAGCTAATTCTGAAGAACTGGATGTCAACCACCACATGAAGGATAATAAGTAGAGCCTATATTCTAAGCTAAACATCTTGACATAAATGCACAATAATTTAGCAGTTACTTTGTGAACTTGACTAATATTCGACAATGTCGAACTGTGACAATTTTTCTGAGGCAGTTCGGATCAGATTGCCGGACAAAACTCTGGAGTTATCTTTAATTCTAATCAGAGAATTTCGCAAACATGATTTTCTTTTTTGTTTCCCTTTTTTTCACTTAATCCAAAGCTTGTAAAACACTGACATGTCTGTTTCTGGTTTATTCTGTAAACCGTAAGCTTTCGTTTGATGCATAATTCACTGCTATACCTTTTGTCCTTCCAAAGTCATTGTAGTTCAAACATAGCATTAACTACTCTATTTTTCTACTTTAAGCTCCAGTTTTGGACGTAAATGTATTTTCCTAATTGTTCATGCCCTGTGATCATATTAGTCATCTATTTACTCATGTATCTTCTAACCCCAAAATACTCTGGTGCTGCAGGGAGTCAGCCCTCCCTCTCGAAATGCTCTCACATGGCCACGTGCATACAACCACTGCCAGGGAAGTCCTACTCACTACCTTCTCTCGGTGGGGGTGTTCTTTACGAAATTGAAAGGACGAAAAGCGAATATCGGGTGCTTTGGTGAACACGGAGGGTTCACCCAGGGGAGTTGGAAAACCCTGATTCCAAACCGATGATGCACATGGGCTCCAGCATCCTGAAGGAACAAATGACGTGTGAGCCTATTGTTGGTCACCGACTAACATGGGACTGCACCTCCTGACGTTGCTCCATCGCCTTGTGGATCAGACCTTTAGGTCGAAAGCTCCGGGCGTGGCCCCCTAAGGAAACTACCCGCTTCGATTTGGGCACCCGGGCAGTACCCCAGCCCTCACACAAATCGAATGATTTATATGGCGCATATCCATTTGGTGCATCCTTGTACCGATGTTTGTTTAAATAAACAAACAATTCTTAATCGGAATAAGTCGTGTAGTGCCCCAGTTGACTTGTCGTCTCTCGTGCGCTTGTCAATCAATGAGGCAATAAGTCTCACTTTGAACTCACGCGTTCCTAACTTCAAGGTCAAACCAGTCAGCCTATCGTGTCAATGTTTTAATATAGATTGAGACAAGTTATCTACTGTATACTAGTGGGTGATAGATAAAGGACGTAACACAGAAATTGTAATGAGTACATAGTAATAAGCAAAACAAGTTCTTTGGTGTCATGAATAGCTCTTCGGTAATAATTTTAAATGGTATTATTTAATTGTCTGATATAGTAGACGAAAACCTAGCCACTATCCAAAGAGCTAAATTTATTTCATGTCCAGTCATCATTGCATGTTAATAGGTTATATGTTGTCTGATTGTTGACCTATTTTAGCTATTTGTTAGACGGTTGGAAGCATTTGACAGCAAACTTAGGTTTCGTATTAGTTATTACTTTTCTTATGAAATCTGCACACTGTTGATAAGTTGTTTAATAACAGTCATAAGGGCGATTTATGTACAAAGTATAGAAAATATCTAGAAGATATACCATTACAAAAATGTCACTAGGTTGTAATATAATCTATAAAAACAACTAGACTATATCAAGAATATTTATTAGTTTTATTATGTAAATTTAAAACGCAGTAGATTTTGTAGAAGACAGAAAAAACTATAATAAATGTGCCGAGGCATAATGTTGAGTAACACATGCATTTATAAATCAATGGAGTTGTATAGATGATATTGTATAACAAATAATTATATATATATATATGTATATATTCTTTAAAGAGGCTTTAGAATTCAGCATATACTTCCAACATAAAACGAAAAGATGAACAAATGTACTTATCTAGACCAAAAATCCACCATTGAAGCTAAAGATAACTGTTCAATACCGAGAATATAACATTTAGCCACACAAATAGGAAATTAAAAGACCATAATACTGTGAAACAAGAAACAAAAATTCAAGATTCTCCTCGTAGGAAAAAAGATCTTATAAAAAATGAATCTTTACTGAAATAATATGAGAGGATACAATACTAAGAAGGATAAACAATCTGACCAGGAGACATCCGAAATTAACTACACAAAAAGTGCACATTCTTTTTTTATTGCACAAAAATTTCAATTAATTCACTTCAACACAACTACGCATAATGATTTATTACTGAATCATTCCATACACATTTTGAAAATCTCACTATCTATTTATATCCGTAAATAAATGGTGAATAACAGCTACAAAAGAACATAAAGACGAGGAAGTAAAGAAAGAAACGACAGGTTTATCATTAAGGGATAAAAAAGAATAGACAATAATGAAATACGCGTCTTATAATGATTGTTAAGACTAAGAACAAATTATGTAAATGGTTTTTTTTCGGACGTAAATGCATGAAGTACAAGACGAATAACTCTTTAGCATAATAGTAACACACTGACGATTGCGCACACGCACAAACAGACAAATAGGAATAAATTAGAATACTGTTAAAAAACGTACACAAATAGTGTGTATATATGATACACAGAGTACATTACATCAACTCAACAAACCCAATCGTATTCTATCATCTCTCAACAATGAAAATTCAAACAAAATAAATCCCTTCTTTTCTTAAATAAGTTCACAGCCTTTCTTTCTTTTACGTTTAGTATTTAAAGCAGCACGTGTAGCTGTTTCAAAAACTTTACGAACACCTTCCTTTGTTTTAGCGGAACACTCTAAGTATCCATAAGCATCTGTAAATTTTAAAGGAAGAACATAATACTTATTGATATAGTATGGGGATTAAAAAAAACAAAGGTTAATTCACAACAATTTCAAGGCCAAACTAACTGCATAACATAACACTCAATAATTAAGTACGTATATCTACGACCAACACTATTGATGTGAGCATAAACAAAACTAATAATTCAGCTCACATCAGGATTCCGTGAGGTCAGTGATTTTAATTAGCAGTCTAATAATTGATGATCGAGTAACTGAATCATGTAGAAATCTAAACAGGTCATCGGTTGAAATAAACACGTGAATATCTCAATATTATTTCAGCTACAACAAACTTCGGAACAATGTCGGTGGAAAATGTCATTCAACTGGTCTAATTACTACAGGATATTCAATCAACTTGGTTCTGTCAGTAACTATGCAACCAGTCACTAGTACCATAAGGAATTTAATAATCTCTCGGCTGTCCCAGGACATTTACGGACAAATCATCATAGCTACGAACAAGTATATAAATGCGACTTTGAGTCACACTCTATTTTAAGACTTCTAATAACACTAGACTGGTTAATATTAACTAGATGGGTCAGGATTTGAGAATATGACCTGAAAATCCAATCATTTCATCACTAAATCACTACTTTTGTTCAAACTTTTTTCCATCAGTATTCATTCACAATATAGCCACTTTGCTTTAAATGTACTCCTTGATTTCCTTTTTTAAAATGATGAAAAAATCCATAAAATATTGAACTTTGGTCAATTCCAATCTGAAATTTCCAGACAGATATGCTGAGTACTGTCAGTAGGCAGTTCATGAAGCATGAATAAAAACTACCAAATACGTCAAAGAATAGTTAAACTTAGTACATCAAAACCTCTTCTAAAAAATGGAAATGATAATGTAAACCGAACGGTGGCTGTTACATTATAAACTACTACGAATATGAAACAATACACATGGGACTATAAAACATTAATAAGTTGTAATTATTGCGTGTAAGCGAAATATTTCAGTTTTACTCGAATCAAACTCACAAAGCACATTAATGAAAAACTTACTAATACGATCACATACAAGGCGACCTTCTTCGGATTTGACTAATTCCTGACGAACTTTGGCTAATTCATGATGCGCTCGCTCATCATTACGCAGATCTTGTTTGTTACCCACAAGGATGATCGGAACATTTGGACAGAAGTGTTTTACTTCAGGATACCATTTCTCAGTGATATTATCGAGACTGTCAGTGCTAATTAAGAGATGAATCAATCATTGAAAAATCAGAATATAGTTGGTAAGAGAAACAAATGATGAGATCTCAACTTTCATTATACTGAAGGGTAGTGGTAAATAAATTAGCGAAATTGGAAGTATTGGAGGTACATATTTAAAAACACCACCTACCATTAACTACTAATAACCACTCTGCACGGATTCAAAAAGCCTATTTGACTTTTGCCAACTTACGTCACCTATGGTGAAGGCGAACTATTCGTCTGTCAATAGAAGGACGAGTATACTGTGCAGCAGTTCGTCCTGTTCTACTTTACAGCTGCGAAACATGGCCATTAAGGGTAGAAGATACCCGTAAGTTACTAGTATTTGACCACATATGTCTTAGAAATATTGCTCGCATCTGCTGGGATAACAGGGTAAGTACTAATGAGGTTAGACACAGGGTATTAGGGAACGATGGTAAGTCCGTCGATGAGGTTATAAATCTTCATCGACTGATATGGCTGGGCCACAAATTACGAATACTCAACCACCGATTGCCATGACGCGCAATGCTGACTAGTGTTGGGGACGGTTGGAAGAAAATTAGGGGTGGCCAAACAAAAACGTGGTATCAGTCCTTTAAGTCACGAACTTTTGGTTTGAACCATGGCTTTCGTACACTCTTGTAGGTTTAATTAGGGTGCACTACAAGATGAACATCAAATTCATGGAAGTAGTTACTTCAATGGTAGTAATGTATAAAAGAAAGTTTGCGTATAAAGATATAATACAGGAAGAATTAGTGATCGAACACTAGTAACTTACGGGTATCTTCTACCCTTGATGACCACGTTTCGCAGCCGTAAAGTAGAACAGAACGAAATGCTGCACAGTATACTCGTCGTTTTATTAACAGACGGATATTTCGCCTACACTATAGGTGACGTAAGTTGACCGAAACTGCTACCTTGACGCGGTGGTCGGGTTTGCCTATCGTGATGACCCAACCGAGCTATATTGGCTGGAACATATGTTCCTGTAGGTTCTACCATGCCAGGCAGGTCGATTGGTGAACGGTAAGACTAAAAGCAGCAACTCAAGGTCTGAGGGCGAAGCCGTACTGCTGACTGTAGAGGGGTGTGACAGCAGTAAGGTGTTTCCCTCAGACAACCAGCATGAGAGCGATGCTGCCTTCCCACAAAGAGGGGTGGGGTTAGAAAAGGTCGACCCTAAAAATGTCACACCTCACCTTACCTCACGGACTTCTGTCTCCGGCGGTAAGGCCCTTTGAAGCACGGAGCTAACACGTCAAAAACCTTCCACAAAAAGGCCGTGCGCGACCGGCCTCAAGCAGTTGTTTCTTGGGCTCTGCGGTCACGCTCCCAGGTTGTTAAGACCAACACTAATCCAGTTTCCTTCTCAGGTTCCTCAAGAAATACCCTTCCACGGTGTAGGCAGCCGGGAAGTGACATCAGCCCTCATACCCGTAACAACACACGAGACCAAGTTGGTCACATTCAAATCCTTCCTACACCTCCTAATACCTCTCTTATCTCCATGACTAACCCTCCTCACGTCTCTTTATCACCTCGCACCGCTAGGGCAAACAATTCGAGTATGTGGAACGCTATTCCTGGTCTCCTGAAACCACGCTCTAAACTACACGCTGGAGCTTTTAACGTCCGAACACTGTGCCAAATAGGACAGCAGGCTTCCTTAGCTAGGACTTTAGAATCCCGCGCCATCGATGTGTGTTGCGTCTCCGAAACGCGCATACAGGATCCGAGTAGCGTCATTCATCTGACCTCACCATGCCAAAATAAAGAACCGACTCGATTCACACTTCGTGTATCTGGAAGCCCTGATTTTGCTTCCCGTGGCCTCGCCAGCGTAGACATAGCATTGAGTCCTAGGGCAGAACTAGCTCTCTTAGAGTGGATCCCAGTAGACAGCCGTTTGTGCGCTGTCCGACTGAACGGAACAGTAAGAATCCAGAAAGATAGGGACACCCGTCGTTGCCTTTTCGTCGTTTCTGCCTATTCTCCCACTGACTGCAGCGCAGATGATATAAAAGATGAGTTTTACAGAAAGCTCTCCGACCTTCTCCGAAAAGCTAGGCGCTCTGATGTAGTAATAATGGCCGGTGACTTTAATGCTCAAGTAGGTAAACTAAGCGATAGGGAAAGACACCTGGGTGAATCTTATAGCATCATGGCTCAAAGAACAGATAATGGCGACCATCTGTTGCAGCTATGCTCAGATAATCGCCTGTTCTTTGCAAATACCAACTTTAAGCATAAGGAAAAACATCTTTTAACATGGAGACCCCCTAATTCGTCCCAGCGTTGGACCCAAATAGATCACATCGCTATCAGCCACCGGTGGAGGGGCTCGATAGAAGACTGTCGCTCATTCTGGAGCACATGCTTAGATTCAGATCATGCTCTAGTACGAGCGCGTATCTCTGCGTCTTACTGGACATAGGAAAGACGCTGCAAGTAAACCTCTTAGGGCCCTACTTAATGATAGTCAAGCTAAGAGTATATTTCAGGAACAATTAAGAAAAGTTAGGCAGTCATGTATGTGGTGTCCACCCCGAGGCAGCATGGAATGATATCCGTAAAGCTGTGGAAACAGCAGTGATATCTGCTAGTACGGTTAACCCGTAAGGTTAGGGAACGACACTGGATCTCAGCAGCATCTATCGCACTGATAGATGCTTGGAAACTCATTCCACCTGGCTCTGAACATAATGAAGAGCGGAGTCAGCTTAAGCGCAAGCTGACAAGAAGTCTACGCAATGATCGTGAACAGTGGTGGGTAGCGAAAGCAAGAGAGATGGAAAAGGCAACGGCAATAGGTAATAGCAGACAATTGTTCAGACTCGTTAAGGAAACTGGTATTAGGAAACCGACTGTTAGCGAAACACTCTCAGAGAAAGATGGACATATTATACACTCTCAATCCAGGAGATTGGAACGATGGGCAGAACACTTCAGGGATCAGTTCAACTGGCCTTCAGCCACACTTTGATTTCCCACGATCTCTAGTCAACCTGAATGGCAAGTTAATGTAGATCCTCCGTCTCTTTACGAAGTTGAAAAAGCCATAGGAAATCTGAAACGAGGGAGAGCAGCAGGCCCTGACAAATTTACTCATGAGATTTTTAAGGATGGTGGTTCAGTATTAGCAGTGAGATTAACTGACGTCTTAGGTAGAATTTGGGAACTGGACGTAATCCCATATGACTGGTCTCAATCACTGATTGTGCCAGTTTTTAAGAAAGGACAAAAGTCCTCTTGTGACAATCACAGAGGAATCAGTTTGACTAATATAGTGTCTAAAATATTAGCTTCAATAATACTTCGACACCTAACCAAAGCTCGTGAAGAGCAAACTAGAGAAAATCAGGCCGGTTTTCGACCTGGACGTGGTTGTATAAACCAAATATTCACACTACGTCAGGTTCTAGAACACAGACACACGTTTAGACGCCCCACAATGGTAGTATTTCTCGACCTTAAGGCGGCATTTGACTTTGTTGATCGTAAGGTTCTATGGCAGTGTTTGTCACTGAAAGGAGTACCAAAGAAGTACATTAACCTTATTCAGGCTCTCTACTCGAACACAACTGGTAGAGTGAGAGCTTATGGCGAACTGTCATCAGAATTGATTACATCAAGTGGTATTCGTCAGGGCTGTCCACTCTCTTTCTTGTTTAACTTTGTCGTTGACGTGCTTTTAGAGATGACACTTTCCTTATCTAAATTTCCAGGGGTTGAACTTCTACCAGGAGGTTCACTTGTTGGCTTAGAATATGCCGATGACATAGTTTTATTTGGTGAAGACGCTGACAAAATGCAGTCTTCTGACCACTCTAAGCAACAATGCAAGCATGTTCGGGATGCGATTCTTTCCCTCGAAATGCAAAATGTTGCTTCAGGATTGGGTTACATTGACACCCGAACTAATGATAGGGAGTGAAGTAATTGAGCGTGTCGATCGCTTCACTTATCTTGGAAGTCTCATCAGCCCTTGTGGTCTAGTGTGTGACGAAATCTCAGCACGGATACAGAAGGCTCGACTAGCTCTTGCCAACTTGCGTCATTTATGGCGTAGGCGAGATATGTTTACTAACCAAAGGACGAGTTTACTGCGCAGCAGTTCGTTCCGTCCTGCCTTATGGCAGTGAAACATGGCCGGTAAGAGTAGAGAATATTTGTAGGTTACTAGTATTTGATCATAGGTGCCTTCGAAATATTGCTCGTAAATTCTGGGACCATCGAGTAAGTAATGCAGTTGTTAAGAAACGGGTACTAGGTAAGAATGGCAAATTAATTGATGAAGTAGTGAAACCTCATCAGTTGAGATGGCTGGGACACGTGTTACGTATGCCCAACGACCGACTGCCTCGACGTGCGATGTTCATTGATATAGTAGTAGGTTGGAAGAAAGCTAGGGGCGGCCAGACCCACAAGTCCATGAAGTCACTGACAAGTGAACTGAGTCATGTCGGTAGGTGTAGACTACCTGGTTGGGAACCGCGAGATGATAGCAACCGATGGTTAGAGACCCTGAATGACATGGCTCAAAATCGTTTGCAGTGGCGCAGGTGCATCCACTCTTTGTGTTCTCCCAAACTTTGATCTCCTGATTCCCGCTTGTCTCTTTTTTCTCCTCCCAAGTTTATTTCACTGTATTGTACTCTTTAAGTAACATCTCCAAACACTAATCTCTCCGATTACTGCTTATACTCTTATTACCTCTACCACTACGAGATTTGAATCGACAACTGCATCTCTGTGCTAATGTGGTGTGGCAACTTGAACTGATGTACATACGTATGAAGTTCTACGTTGTTACTGACTGACTGAGATGAGAACGTTATTTCTAGCAATCGGTCTATGATGAAATCAGACGAAAATGGAGATAGTGGATAGCCTTGCCGCACAACACTTGAGATCCCAAAGTAAGATGACAGAAAATATAACTATGAAGGCACATTGGAATACAAAATCTAGAAGATAAAAAGCAAATGCATCAGGGCTATTACGACCGGTTTTAAACTGCATATGTAACCACTGATAGTTGTTTACGCATTGGTTTTGGTGGAGTTTTGTCCTCTGAGCACAAACTTCAGGTTTGTGCTGATGCCGTTTAGAACAATGGTTTTACTACCATAACATTCAGCTCAGAACAAAAGCCAACCAAAATCATCCACCTTTACTTACTAGTCTTATTCATATAATCTACACCTATCCATATAACACGACACAACAATCTATGACTTCATGGGCTGATACCGTGTCTTGATCTAGCCAGCCTAGCTTTTTTTAAGCAGGATTTGGGAAGTTGGTTTCAGAGGTCTCCAAAGATGGTGGTCGGTTTCCAGTCAGATTTACCAAGATATCAGCTAGGGTGTAGTAACTGGACATCAATCTGGTTTTGATAGCTAACCGTGTCTATAAGAAAGAAACAGAATCCTGTCATCACCAGCTCGACTAGTAATCTGGAACATTCAGTTAGCTACAACATAGGACCAGGTATATATGTGCATCGATCCAAGTTGCCATACCTCATTAGCATAGCAAGATGAACACCGGATTCATAGGAGTAGTTAAGTCAATGGTGGTAATACATAAAAGATTGCATATAAGGATATGGTACAGGAAGAAAGAATTAGTTCGTAGGAAGAAAAATATGAAGCAATTTTAATCTTAGTCTGAAACATTTGACTCAGTAATCGTCTGTAAATAATATACTGTGGCAAAGTATACATTCGAAATATTGTTAGCGATAGAAACTGTGTAAGATGAAGTGTAACAGTAGCCTACAGTACGTACGTTGATAAATGTGTCTTAATTCCTTTCGTCGCTCGTGAGACAAAATGATCTAAATTACTTTTGTAGCGTACTAAAATTGGCTAGGTGCGACAACTATAATTCCCAAAAGTGTGTACGCATACGACTTAAATATCAATGCTGACTAAGCAGTAGTGTCAAAAACCTAAACATACTTGACTTTTACTGGACTACACTGCGAAACATGTAACACATGTAATACAGTAGCTAAACAAATGTGCAATAGCGCTAAGTTGGATGCACAAGAACGAATTCGTTAGGCCAGAAATCTTCGCAGGGCAAAACGACATACACTATTATCTAGATAGCAGTTTATTCGTGAAATAAGGTAACGATTACAAAGCAGCTTGGCGTCACAGGTTATAGGCTTACTGCTTTCAATGTGTTGCTAGCCACGAAACTAGGCAACCCAGATAAAGAGGGATTAAGACAAGACATATGTTGAGTCCTACATGAATTTTCGATAAATTTCGAAGAGAATCATAGATCAAATAAAATATGATTCATGGTCACTTTCAGTCAAGGACAACTAACGTATACATGGAAAAAACTGCCAACCAACCTGTCTATTGAAAAACACATTAATATGACATCAGTGTCGGGATATGACAAAGGTCGAAGTCTATCGTAGTCTTCTTGACCCGCGGTATCCCAAAGCGCCAACTCTACTTGCTTCCCATCCACCTCGATATCAGCGACGTAGTTTTCGAAGACAGTTGGCACATACACTTCGGGAAACTGATCTTTGCTGAAGACAATGAGCAAACACGTCTTTCCACAAGCTCCATCACCAACAATAACCAGTTTCTTACGGATGGCAGCCATACCTCCACCGAGATTTAAAAGGTACAGTTCGAAGTGAGCGCTGAATCAAGGGCTGACCTACCGTTGGTGCAAGCCAAGAAGTGGACCAAACATCAATTCGTAGTTAATTGACGTCAACTTTGCCAAGTTACGGAATGGAACTGTTTGTTCCTTTTTATTTATTTCTGACTAGAAAAGCAACATACGAACACGAACTGATAAGTCAGTTAAGAAAGAAGACTGAAACGCGCGCTATTTAAAAGTGCGGCGGTATCTTCTTTCGCTGACTTAATTTTATTGTTTTGATTGCTTATTATGAACCAAGACTACTATTTTTGCTTAATTCGAATTTATTTAAGTTAACGTAAAGTCCAAGATCATCATTCCTTTACGAAAGTAATCTATCATCGCTACTTTAGAGTACAAATGTTCATTGTAGTTGTTTGAAATTTTAGCTCTAACAACTTACACTTCTTCACTTTTTTCCAAAACACTAGGTTTTTTGTTTCTAGGTATTGTCTGTGCCTAGTTTCTTTTCGAAAACCTCTGAGCGATAACTGTATAGTACAAAAAAGCAACTGCCAACGCTCAGGCTGTTAATACTGTTGGAAAGTACCACTCAGCGGGATGTATGAAAAAATTTCACCACGAACCTAATGCCATCGGATTTCGAACGAGTTAGTAAAAATAAACGCGTGTGTTTTGTCAGCAATGTTGCTTGGAAAATAACAGGTTGCTATCCGAAACCTTTACAATGGCAGATGACACTAAAATGAGTTTTGGCAAGCGTTATCGAGACACATCAAACGGTACTCGCCCAGTCGATATGAAGCCATTTCAACCGAGCTCAGAGCCAATTGGCTAACTTGGGTCAACGGAGGAAGGACGTCCCTTAAAGAAGTCTGTTAGAAGGGAAATTTTTTCGTTCACCGCTCTCAAAATGGAAAAGAGAATAAAAATCTTGGCAAACCCAACTGCAATGCTAGGTCTGTCTCTAGCAGGAAAAACAACAACCTAACTACTCAAGTCATCGACAATTACCCAAGATCCAACGGTGTATGTAATGCGAATTTGATTTCTACTCCAATCAAGGTTGATGAACGGGTACAGGTCAAGAATCAGAAACGACCTACAATTGCCAAAGAAAGCCAGTCCCTCAACCAGTAGCTTGGGAATTGAAGGATTATCATAGGGACAGGTCATTTGTCTTCCATAATGTCAAGAAGAGTGAAAGCTCAAAACACAGAATTCATTTTGAACATGACAGATCTACTAAACTAGCTAATACCTAAGGTATCTCTGGAGTTACCATGCCAAAGGCTTGCAGACTGGGTAGCTAACTGGACATGAAACAAAATCAAACCAGACTGCTAAAAGTATTATTTGAATCTCTCGATGAAAAAGAATTAATACTAATGACTGAATATAAACCTCAAGGGTTAGGAGTCTTTGTCCATAAAAACTTGCCTCTCGCGGGCAATGCAAATGACAAGAAGCAAAAAACTAAAACAAAGGGTTGATGCTGGCGAGAAAGACCTTAAAATTGCCGATTTTTGGGTTGTAAGGCTTTGACGGGAAATAGTGCCAAAGCCACTTTGAGTGCAGCACGAAGACATTTAAATGGCCTTCAGGTCTGTCACACAAGTGCTCGGACCTTGCTCAACATGGGATCGAAGCTAGGTGTACAGAGAGACTCTATCATCTCGGATGAAATCGAAGTCATTGTTGACGCAGTATGTAAACAGCATGAAACTTGATCTTGAAAGTTTCACATTAGCAAGAGACGACAGAATCCTGAAGCTCAGTGGAGGAGTAGCCCACTTCATTAGAAATATTATTCCGTCTACTTTCACAGATAACATATCCCATGAAGGCGGGACATACAAATTAGTTAGTTTCCACTTGAAATGCAAAGGAAACAAACTGCTGAGCGACTTGGTCTACCGCAGTTCGAACTGTGAAACGAACGATGTGCTGCTAGACTTTTTCAACACTTTGTCATTATGTGGTCGATATTTAATCCCAGAAGACTATGATACACGTACGGTGGACCGGAGGAATCTGGGGACTACAATGTCAAACAAAATCTAGGTGAAACACTTATCACATATGCCTTTGTGCAACATGTGAGAGAAGAAACTAGGTACGACTCGAACTACGAATCATCTTTGACAGGTCTCATATTGGCCCATTATGAGTATGACATCACGAACCTCCATTAAATGCTACCCCTGGGTAAAAGTGACCATGCGGCTCTAGTCTATGATTTCCACACAGTTGTCAATGACGAACATGTATCAGCCCAAGCCAGACCAAACTCATGGAAAGCAAAGATACAAGAAGTTGAACATTCAGACTCAGTAGATTATCCATTGGAATCAGAGTCCCTCATTTAAACGGCTTGAGAAGTATTTTGCAATTTATAGCTAAACGTTGTTGCACCTTACACCCCTTGAACTGTATGAAGAGGTTCAAGAAATTCTCCCCTATGGTTCAGTAAGAGAGTTCGCACCCTTCTCCGTAAGACGTGAAGAATGTGGGAGACATTCAGGTTACTGAGTACTGACGGGACAAAATCTCAATGTCATGGATCCCAAATTTTTTGCGCTTTCACCCTCCCAAAGTCAAGAAGGTTGTACGACGAAAAGACTGTTAAGCGATCTATAACATACCCTAAACGAATATACCCGTACATAAACCAAAGGACCAAGAGAAGAGGAAATATTCCAGCATTATAGGGATACAGTAGCACTTCATCAGTTGTGAAGGACGACTGTGGTAAAGCTCAAATATCTTCAAATTATTTAACAATGTATATACCGTAGAGTTACTTTCCTTTACGGTTCGTACAAACCCCTCACACACACACTAGACACTGTGACCAGTAAAGAACTCACTGTATTTTGTCTGCTAAATGAGCTTGATATAAGCAAACCCACGGGATCTGACGAACTGCACCTCATGTTATTAAGGGAAATAGTGGGATAAACAGGCATGAAATATAAACTTTAGAAATAGTGATTTGTAAGCCTGAATAGCGAGGGTTTTAAAATCCTAGAACAGAATGTTTGGAAGGAGTTGTCTAAGTATTTCTACAAAAATCGAATTCTTTCTGAAAGGCAGCATGTCCTTAGAACACGTCATTCTTGTTTCACAAACGTATTAGTAGATCGTGATAGTTAGTGCGCCTTTAAAGACCAAAAGTTATCTAAAGGCGTATCCTGCATTGACTTCAGCGAGGCTTTTGACAAACTTCTTTACAACCAACTGTGATATAAGTTAAGCAATATCGGGTTCGAAGGCAATTTATTAAGGTAGATAAAGGACTTCATAGTTGAGCGTCAACAAATATTACGGGTAAACTGAAAGCTGTATAGCTGGAAGACTGTGCTAACCGGATTGCCTCAGAGCACAGTATTTCGGCCCGTGTTATTCCTCCCGTATGAAAATGACCTTTTTGGTCTCCTATCATCATCGGTTCTGTTATGTACCGACGATGTTAGGACATGGAGAGATAAATAGTGGTGATAGTTTGGATCTACGAAATCACCTGGTGAAATTATCTCCCCAGTCTACATTTTAGCAGTTGCCGATAAAAGATTCTTAGTACATTGTGATGCATATCGGTCAAAGATACATACATGGTTTCAGATCCCGATGGTCTGTACGTAGAATCTTTAGCCTTATAGATGTTATAGTGATATAGTGATGTATATCGGTCACCAGGTTACAGATTCACACACAAAGACACAAAACATACTACACACTGCTCTGTGATAGTTGCCAAAGGTTTCAGAACCCCATGTTCAGTTCAATACGTGGGGCTCCTAGTCATGTCAATCCTGAAACATTTTTGAAAATGTATATGGTACTCGTCGGTCCTAAACTGGAGCATTGCATATAAGCGGCCAGCGCCTGACGTAAAAGAGACAGTGAACCGTTAATAAAGGTTCATAGAACAGCAACTAAGTTGATTCTTGGAAATGCTAAGCTCCCGTTTGATGGTCTACTGGCTAGATCAATCTTATTTCCATTGTCATATCGAAGAGCCAGAGGTGACTTGATCACTTAATGATAAATCTGCATCTGATATGTCCTCATTTCTGTTGTCTTCAAAAGCAGAGAATTTGTAGCGGTATCGGTCTCAACCACACAATCCTCAAAGCTGAACATGAAGTAACTGGGAAAATAGATATTCAACATTTAACATGGAGAGGAGGCCAACGATGGTGAACGCAGGAAGACTTATTCAATCGGATGACATGGCTCAGTTTTGCAGACGTGATCATTCTGTATAACTTATCTTTACTCATACTAAACAGGCGAGTCAGTGCAAACAATGATGGAACTTCCATGTGAGACCTCATAGATTAGGTAGTCACACCATAAGAAATCTACAATTTTAGGATTAGGTCTATCATTAGAGTAGCGCTGATATCGAACTAGGCCATAATTCTACAAATTTATGAGGGCACTCACGAAAGTTCACAAACTTACGACAAATTGCTTGTCAGCTGACTATCGACTTTCCCACCGAATCACCAACGTACTGAACTCATTACCTCGACACATGATTGTAGCTTCATCTGTTAGCGCTTTCAAATGGACGTTTGATCATTTGGGAGACCACCATTGCCAGGACTATACAGACTACCTAGCCTCCTATCCTACCCAACTTAAAACTGAAATCCTACAAATTGGCCACCATCCTCCTATATGGTCCGGACAAGTTGAGGTACAACATAATCGGCTAAATATTCGCTCCAAAGTCACGAGATAATCTTTGGTGTCTGAAACATTACCAAGTGAAGTAGCGGCTGAACTGTCGGACCTCATAGACAAAGTCTTATTCGAAGCCTGTGAAAAACCTGAACAGACAACCGAAGTGACTGATAAATCCTCAAAATAAATGCTTTTGTAAGCCTTTGATATTGATGCCGACCTCATTAGTATCAGTGGATACACTCTAGATGATATCCCAAACTATGCGTCTCTTGCCGCTACTAACCAACCTAGATCAAACGCTTCTCAACATATCGGCAGCCTTCGAAACATATCTTTAAACTCATTCCTCGACTAGAAAGGTTTACAC